TACTTTACCTTTCATAACTATTAGCACTTGTTCATTCTCCATTTCATCGATGGTCCTCATATTTCCATGTCGATACCACACATTTTTATCTGCTGATACATATGCTGCCTCTTTTCTGTTTCTTGATTCCCCATAATGTGTGTTTCCTCTTCTCAGTCCTTTTATTCGAATTAACATATTAGTGATAATCATTGACTTTGACCACTGATATTCATATTCATTTAAATAAGAAATATAACATACCTTTCAATCTCACTGTATTCTCCATATCTTGTTGTTATTAAAGGCCATCACCTAAATTAATTGTATTCCTTTTTGTCTGCCTAAATTATCTCCATTTTCTGAATCTTTAGTTGACCATCCAAGATTTCTATCTTGTATGACATATGATTAACCGATGTAGAATCCAATAGACATATCATGCTTTACATATTTGTATTGCTGCTTCAATTTTTTCTCGCTATAAAGTATAATTCTTGACATCTATGCTGATGATATTCCATAAGTACAATATTTTTCTATTGTTGCACGTGCCTGTTTACTTCAACAGAATATCGTCTCCTCACAACCAGGCTCTGCTATCACTAATAAAAGATGGAAAAGCAATGCCTTATATCTTGCACCATGTGTTTACAACTGAAGGTTATGTTTATACAAATACTTACATTCTTTTCGTGATGCAGGCACACCTGCATCAACACAACAATGCTTCCGGCGTTTGTTTTCAATTTTTTCTCATTTCTCATGCACTTTCCTGTTCACTTGAAGAAAAATTAACAAATCGCTCAATTTCTGTGTTTAATTTATGAATTTTTATAATTGCGTTGTAAAGGCGCACCTTTGCATATTTGTCGTCTGCTAGTTAAGGAATTGAATTATAGGTAACTTTCTTATAGAATGTTTAATTTAATAATTAATACTTACATGAGTGATAAGTTTTGTAGTTCCTGTGGTAAATATGATTGCTATAGAAAAGCGTTTTTCTTGCGTAATATTCTTATTATTTTGTAACAAATATATACTTGCATAAGAAAACGTAAAAAATAAATTTTTTTATTAAGAAATTTTATTGACAGTATTTTCATAGACGAAAGATGAACACAAAATAAAAATAGATTGAAAAAACTACCAATTATGCACAGGAATCTAACCGCGGTCCTTCTGCGTAGAAATTGCCTACTGTTACCGATAGGCTACGACTACTGTTAGAAATAAATCTATAATTAAAGTAGTAATAAAACTTTAATCGTAAATATTTCAGAAACTATTGAGTAGTTACCGCTATAATGATATATTTTCTTAAACTGCATGATGATGCCTACAAACCTGCAAAGTTTCAACTAAATCGGTGACTCGAAGAACTTGTACTCTCCTTGTAAGTGTTAAAGGGTGTTGGAAGAAGGAAACAACACGCCATCAGTTGTACACAAATGAAAGCCGATCGGAGATATTTAGACATTCAGTAGCCAGTTGTAATATAACCAATGTGCCGTTAACACTCAAATAAATTACGGAGCAATATGCTTTTTCGTTTTATATATGTTGTATTTAATCAATATCCCAATAATCCCAACAATGGGTTATAATGCAAACGATAGGAACTGACCTGTCTTTCTAGGGACAAAAGACAAAACACAGGGGAAAGGATCATCCTCAGATCGCTAGGATGTAGAGTTTATTTTAGTATTTAGTTTTTACTACAGCACCGACACTAAATAATTCCCAAATCACTGTCACTGCGTCCCAAAATACAAAAATCTCCACCCACAGCCCGCCCACCCAACATCCGCCTAGATCCTCCATCAGCCTACCCAATACCACAAGAAACATCCTGTAGCAAACACCCAAAGACCGATTCAAAGCAGTCTCCGTCGACCTTAATATTAACGAGGAGATTTCCATGATTCGACTAGTTGGAGGGATCGCATCTACATGCTCGGGCCGATCGAGCGAGCAAAAGGATCGGATAATTGAAGTCCGCTTCCTCGGGACTCGGATCGAGCGTTCCGGACGAAGTCCTTAGAAGGAAGCGGGCCCCGCCGGTATCGCGGACATGCGATCTGTCTTTATGGTCCGAAAGTGGGCGTCGGTCTGGCCTCACAATGCCGGCGTAACGACGACACAACGAGGACAACGACAACGACAAAGACGGACCCGACGAGAGAATGAGGGACTCCTGTCTTGTTAACCCGACGAAACAGGGCGACGCGTGTCTGTTCGCTGACACGACGTCCGACGTCGGGACGCGATAGTACCTCGTGAGTTACTGTACCTTTGGACAAATTATTAAAAGAAGGAGGAAAGTTGGGTGGCTCGGCGTTTTTTCGCGATGGTCTAGGAAAATTTTGAGGGAGTTGTTAACTCGAATTTGCGATTTATTGTTTCTTGGGTTAGGTTTGAGATTGTTTATCGATGTCTTGAGGATGGAATTATTTTTTAACATTGGGACTATGTATTGGGTGTCTCAAAATTCATGCAAGAACTAATTTTGACAGAAAATGCAAATTTTTAGTTAAAATTTATAAGTATTGCTCAACTCCATATTTATTAAACTTGAGCTGTCAACTGTCACACTGTCTTTCTTTTTTCGTTGGCAATACTTTGTCACATAAATGGCGCATAATTCAAATCTTGCGTGAATTTTGAGGCATTCTCTACTTGTTCGGTATATGAGCTATTCAGGGGCTCAAAAAATTGGCCTAACTGTCTTTGAAATTTTTTATTTGACTATCTGTGAGAAAATGATATATGCTCCTGATTAAGCAGTCAGGTATCGTGTGTATTCTTTTTTAATTTTTAAAGTAAATTTAAAAAATCCTTATATATCAGTGTGTCATGATACATAGTATTCTATATTCTGTTTAGTGTCATGTACACTGTAATTCTTTGAAATTCATTATTCGTAGTTTCTGAACTTTTAGTTAAGCCTCCATTAACCGAAGGAGTCATTAGATTGACATATATTTAACATTTTGACAATTGATGATTTCCTTCATTTCTACACTGTTATATATTGTTCTTAAAAGTCTTCACTGTCAACCAAAATTCTAATCTTCGTTCAGATTCTAAGCACCAATACCATTGAATGTTACCATGTTTGCATTCATATCTTTCCAAGTGCACCAGCTATTTCTGACACACTGGGTAATTAATTCATTCTCGTGTTTAATTATCGATCATTATATCCTGCATACTCGCACGACCCTATTTATGCAATCCAACTTGGCGTGTTAATGCGATCGCAGGGGTGCAGTGATGGAAGTGCGTAAACGCTTGTGGAATACCAGAGAAGCATGACTATGGTCGAGCAACTCGATATTACGATAATTTATAACATTTTCATTCTATTACCACGAACTTATGCTCTCCTTAGGATCATTGCTACGAGGAACACAGTTTTCTAAACGAGGAGCTCGAGTAGCTCCTGCAGTTAACGACGATCGTGAATTGTTATTTGTTAGCACGGCGGGAAACACGGCGTGGCACACTCGGGTGGATTGTGAGTAATCCTGCCACGTGAATTATTCCATACGATTTCTGCGTGCCTGGAATTAATTATCCAGCAGAAAATTCACCGGTCTCCGCGGGGATTCCGACAGACTACAGGGTATCTATGGATCTCTGTCCTCCATCTCGCTGCTCGGCATCAACCGGTGAAATAAAATGGCTCGGAATATCGTAGGCGTGCTGTACTATCATCGGTGAAACTGTGGAGCATCGTGTCAGACTATTAGAATATCTCTCATTTCGAGTTGGTATCCGTGTTTTCGCTCCGGGCTGATGGATTCAGTTGTCTACTGTGCTACGTGATGGATTTGGTATTTGTAATGATGCACTTCAGATTCAATTTACTTTTAATTCGAATACGTGTCAATCTTGGAATTAAAATTTTCAGCCTGGACAAAGTCGAAGCTTTTAGTGGAAACTAAAATTTGAAATTTGCATTAAATGACATTTGAATTTGTATCTATGCAAGGGATCGAAGGTTCGATATTTTTGATTTATTGGTGAGTCGATTTTTGGATTGAAATTTTTAACAAATTTTGGATAGTAATTGAATTAGCAATATTTTAATATTTTGAAGGTGGTAATATTCACAAAACAATAATATTTTATTGTATTTATATTTAAAAAAAAAATTATAGTTTCTAGAATTTATACGAATTTGATATGAATTTATATCCTTAAGTTGTCTCTAATTAAGAAGTTGTAAGACGCAATTAACGGGGTAAGTTCAAGTAATTAAAGCTTGAAATAAGTCTCGCATAAAATCTTCATTAATATCAAATGTTTCTTACCCGTGCACATATATTATGCTTATAGTAGCATACCTCAGAAGTACTGCAATCATTCATAGCAACACCTGCTGAAGACGAATGAATTAGTTCTCTATAATACCTTTGAAATTACATATGTATACATCTATTAATATGTCATTAATATGTCATTATCCTAGTAATAAAAACTTTCTTCGTTATAGTTATTAATTCCAAGACTTCAAATGAAGTAAAAAATAATCATCAATTATATCTTCCTTTTCTCATGACCTAATAAGTTTCTGATTATACAGGGTCGGTTTTGAAAAAACAACATTTCATACTTACCCACTTAATAATGATTTCATTAAGAAGAGTCCAAACAATTTTTTGTTTAATTTAATTCTTCTCTTTTTTAAATTAAATTTTATTTAATAATAAATAGCTAATAATAAAGTTAATAATAAATTAATAATAAATAAGAATATGTAGTCAATAATATAAATACTTTTTGGAGAAGAAACAAACGTAATCTAATGTGTTCCAACACTTTCTGTCCAGGTGTACCAAATAGAGTACGTGATAGTGAAGGCAGCGAATTCCCCTAGGCCAGCCGCTTGGATTTTGGAAAGATCTATCGACGGTGAAAATTTCCAACCATGGCAGTATTACGCTCCAAACGATGAGGAATGTTGGACACGTTATTCTGTGCCGCCTGTCACCGGAAAACCTGTCTACATCGATGACGACGATGTCATATGCACCAGCGTCTACTCTAGACAGACACCTATGGAAAACGGAGAGGTAAGAACACTCATACCTACATACCTTCATACGTGTCTTTTAATACACAGCTTCAAACATATACCTAACCAAATGTTCGTGAACACCAGACATTTCTTTCGTTCTTTATTACACATTATTTTCTTTAATTTCTTCGGATGAAATTACTCTTCATTATACCCTTTATTATCTTTCTACCCTTTTTGGTATATCTTATCACATAATTATGGGAAGATGACGTGAATGGCCATGTGCGTTTACCTGGCTCTGGGAGTGGACAGTAGAAATTATTTTATGACTGTGATAGTATTCTCAGTATCTATACTCTAGTTAACACTGTATCACGCATATAAAATTGTTGACCTTTTCTAATTCGTGTCAATTATAATATACCGAGTAGATTATTTTTTAATAATAAATTAAAAATAACTTGAAATGTTTACATGAAATACTTTGATTTATGAGGTACTAACAAGGCAAAAATTAATTTTCAGTAGAAGATATCAAACGAGTAAATTTAGAGCAGAAAGAAGGTCTAACTCTAGAAATTCATATTTTGTCATTAATCTACTAATTCAATTAGTAATTACGATGTAAAAATCATTTCACGAGATATTATACAATTATCGTGGCCATCTACAAGTGACTCTAATAATTCATCTGAATCCAGTACACTCTTGTTTCTTCTGTGAGCACTTCCCTTTTGGAACCCAATTAGACGAATGACACTCAGGTGGCTTAAGAACTAACAAAAATTCTAAACCAAACTTCTTGCCAGTCTTTCCTCTCCAATTCCAATTTACCAGCGAACTCTCGTGAAGTTCTGAGCCCTAACTGTTCGCAAACATCAATTATAATTAATTTTTCGCTTTCTAAAAGCTGCAAGACGAGGCTGCGATTCTCCATATGCTAATACCATATCATCCACCCAATGGAGAAGCTTCTCACAATGATTTACGACCGCTTTCCGCAATACCATCGATCAACAGCGAAGCAGCTAGCTGGCAAAAGAAGAAATGCCCGTGATTGCTCGTCATGGGGAGTCAATTATCTAAGATCGCGGCTCTTTCGCTTCCCTTCTATTTGTTTATTCAATAAACAGCTCTGAGGCCACTTAAAACGGTTCTTTAGGTACCGTTCCAGCGAAGAACGTTCAAAATTGATTGTTCCGATGATCGGTTTGCCTCCACAGGTTTATTCAATCCGTGGTCTATGTTTTAGATTTTCTATTCGATCGGGGAACCGATTTTTATATTGGTCATTGGATTAGGTACACAAAAGTGGAGTAACGATGAGGAGTAACTGGATTCTCTAAGCGATGGATTGAGTTGAATAGTCCTTGATAACTGACGTGTTTCTATGGGGTATTAACCCTTTGCACTCGGCGATTTTTTCGTTACAGGGAAATAGTAATTCGAAGACTTTCTGCCATAAGGTTGATGACATTTTTAAAACAGTAAATAAGAAATCGTATGCAATTTTGAACGTAGAATTATTTTACTTCGATATTCCACGCATCGTTGAGTAAGTGTAAATTTGATATATTAATTAATATCTATCTTTAGAATGTGATTAAATGGCGACTGAGAGGCGCCTCTCAAGTGCAAAGGGTTAATTCTTTGTATCAGGATCGAAGATGCTTCTTCTTTCGATCGAGTAGTAGTTCTAAAACATTCATAGTGAGAGAAAGATCGTGTAATTTAGAGTGTCAATGTTAATTTTTATCCTGTATTACACGTCTCATCAGATATTCGAAAAGTATGAAAAACAAATTTCATAATTTCAAACTTTAGTTTTATTTTTATTTATTATTTTATTTTTAAGCAATAGACCCATATTTTTGTACTTTCATCCCCTATAATTTTACAATGAACCAATCAAACGTATTCACCCTTTGCACTCGAGTTAATACCTTGAAATTGAAGTAACAAATACGAGGCAATTAGACCAGATTAAAATTAAATACACGCGATTTTCTCTTTTTATTTTAGCATACTTCCTATATATATCACCGATATACCTCAGAAAAATATAAGAAAAGCTTTTGTTATTATAAACTATAGGAGTGCAAAGTAAAAGTTAAAATATATTAAATTCTTTTAAAATATAACTGACCACTCCAAGCTGAACTACAGAATGTTAAAAATTTTCTCGCAATCACTGAGGCTGTTCTTATCTCTGTCTCTATCGCTATCACCAGTTATAAAACTAGTCTTGTCAGCGTCACTATCATCAGCCAGTTTCTAGTCCTGCATGCGGCTCAGAAAATTTCACCGTATAATTCCCTGAGCATTTCGTATCACCGATATCAGCCCTGAGATCAGATCTGGAGTAAGATAGATCAAAAGAGATCAGAAACGATCGTTCTCGTGATCGTCACCTGTTGCTCATTCCCATTAGAAGGATGTGTTATTATTCGATGGGGAATCCGACGCGAAATCGGCTGTTATTTGCGCACTGACGCTGTAGCTGTTCACGGCGAGATCATTAATTATCGTTCGTCCCGTGCAATCGTTGGTGTAATTACATGATTGGATGATTAGCCGGCTGACGCTTTGGCGAGCTTTGCGCGCTTGGCCGCTCGCGGGACGGAAACGTCGCTTCCAAGGCATTTCCGCTGCTGGGCTCGCCTTCTTCTTCGGTGTCTTCTCCATCGGGTATCCGCTTAAGTTATAGAGTAATTTCTGCGCGATTGAAATGGCCTGGTGGAAATGGAACGCTTGTCAGGTGAAATTGGTCGATCGTTCCTCGTTGTCGGTGACACTTCGTTGCATTCTCGTTCGAACTGGTTCGTAGTTGGATCGTTTTTGCCGATCGGAATCGAGGTTGGGCCTTCTGGTTATACTTTTAATCTTTTCAGTATTATACTCTGCGAGTTTATTTTTTAAGGACATTTATGCGGATGAATATATTTTTCTTGGGAGTCAAGATTATTTAAACGTGAAGTCTACGTAGTTATAGGTAAAGAAAAAAGTTATTTTTTTGGTGGAAAATATATTATTATTAAAAATATTATATATTTTGAAATGTATATGATGATCCTATTAAATATATTATATGTTCAAATCCTATATTATAATCCTATGGAAAATATTATAGGATATTAAATAAGTCACATAATGTACAATGAGGTATTAAAAGGGATTGTAAAATTAGAATATGATATTGAAGTGGGAGAGATGTTATTGAATGCTAATTAATTAGTATCACTAAGAAATATCACAATTTTTAATTGCTAATTACATGTAACGAATATACTAAAAATCAGGAAAGATATTAAAATAAAATTTGGTAGATCAATTTCTCAGTATTCATTTTTTAACAAACTTTATGGTCAAAATAATTGATTAGACTCTATTTGATAACAACTAGGTATATTAATGTTTTCTTCATAACTCCCTCTATAATTAAGTAACCCTATGGTTAAAGTGAGTTAACTATAATTTTTCAACAAGATTGCAATTTGGACCCTTAACCTGATGAATTTTTAACAAAAATTTCAAATATTATAGAAACATAGTTATACAAGTATTCGTAATTGTCATATTACATAATTATTATTTCCCAGTTTAACCAAAAGTTTCTCAATAAACTAACACATACCCTTCAAAGCACATTTAACCCTTTGCACTCGGCGATTCTTTCGTTACAGAAAAATAGTAATTCGAAGACTTTCTGCCATAAAGTCGAAGATGTTTTTAAATCGGCAAATAAGAAATCGTATGTAAATTAAGACGTGGAATTATTTTTCCTCGATATTCCACGCATCGTTGAGTAAGTTTAGATTTGATATATTAATTAACATTGATCTTTAGAATGTTTAGAAGATTAGATGAAGATAAAATGGCGACTGAGAGGCGCTCGAGTGCAAAGGATTAACTTTCTCACAAAAATTCCAGCACACCATACCAACTTTATCCACCCGAAAACTCACCCTCCAACCTTTTTTAACGAACCTCCGTTGTCCTTCTTTTCCCTTGTTCTGGACTTTCCAATCTCACCGTAATGAAACTATATGAGCAACGGATAATTAGAGCTTATGGCCGCGCACGAGATCGGTTTTGTGCAAACTGGAAGGTGGATGAGAAAAGGAGCAGGACAGCGAGAACGGTGGTGGAAAGAGAGGGAAAGGGAGGAGGAATCGATGATACAAAAACGGCGATCCCTACATTCCGGCCATGTATGGTGTAGGCTCGCCTTATATGGGGCTATCACGTACGCACCTCCTATGGGGAGGTTGCCAGTTTTACGCTTCTGTACGCGGCTGCGGGTCGACCGGGAAAAAATCGGAAAGCGGGGTACAGGGAATCGGCCAACGCCATGGTGGAACCATGGTGGAATCATGGTCATCGATTTCGCTGGAAATGGGGTTTGATCGAAAATTACACGGGTGGTTTTGGAACTGGTAATTGTGTTTGTCGACATTCGTGATATGTATGGAATAGTTGCTTGAGGAATTTGAGATCTATGGGTTTATGGGGATTTTGTTGTAAGTGGGAAATTTTTAATTACAGTTTGGAAATAGAATTGAATATAGTACACTATTAGAGCATTTTCAAAATTGGTTTAGTACAGTATAGTAATATAGTAGTATACTTTAGATTTAAATGTAAAACGCTCTTAGTACACTTTCAAAATTAGATGTACATGGTGTATTATAGTACACCCTAGAATTAGATAGAGAGTATTATAGTGTACTCTAAAATTAGATATAGGACAGTCTAAGAGCACTTTTAAAATTAGATATAGTGCATTATAGTGGACTCTAGAAATAGATATAGAATACTCTTAATACATTTTCAAAATTAGATATAGTGCCTACAGAACACTCTAGAATTAAATATAGTGCACTATAGTATATCTCAGAATTAGATATAGAGTATTGTAGCATGCTAGAATACCCTTAGCGCACTCTCAAAATTAAATATAGTACTTTACAGTATACTCGAGAAATAAATATAATATACTTAATCCTCGCATAATACGGTACTCTAACAATACGGTTTTGGTATAACACGATGCAGAAATTATATTTTTTCTATAGTACCATTTCCACATGATGTAGCTAAATATGGACAACCCTTATGTGGTTATTTCCTTTTGGATTGGTTTCAGGTTTTGCTTAATATAGATTCAATACGAATAACATACGGAAAAATATAAATTAAACAACGTAGCTACATATTTTATTTTAAATTTTCAATACTACAATAAAGTAACTTTTTTAAACCTTTAACAACTATACTTAAATGATCTCAAATTTTGTGGTAACTGATTCGTGAACCACCTTGTACAAATAAAATATTCAATTGAAAAGGTTTATAATTGCGCAGAGATTTATAAATATTTCGTGATAAACGAAAACTTTCTAACGCGATTGTTTATTCAATGAACTCCCGAAGAATTCGAAATGGCCCAAGAATCCTGAATTTAATTTTGTCACGATGGATTTTTAGTCCATTAAACCTGTTTAGCAAGAAATCGTTGAAAAGGATCCATGCACGGGGTACCGTGCATTAAATCATGTAATGGGGTGAAAAAATTGTGGGGAAAAAATTAAATATAGGAAAGTGTAGGCGCGTTTATTCCGAAACCCGTGTAATTGTCCCGTATTAGGAGCCGCGGTATGCCATTTATGGGACTCGTTTTCTACTTAACACGCGGCACCATTCGCGAATGATTTACTCCTCTGATTTCAGCGTTCCTCCGGATTTAGTGCCGTAAGCAAACGTTTGTATCTCTTATTATTGATTATCGATGTCGTTTCTACGAGTAATTTATGTCGCGACGTTGGACGAAAACGATTTAGATATCTTTGTTGTTCCCTTCGACATTCCTCTCGAAGATCGCAGAAATTTCACCATTTATGGGCACCATCGTGATTTTCTTTATGCGACAGGTTCCGTGTAACTGAATAAAATTGGACATTGCGTATTAAATATTAAACAGCCCCTCACACCAACTTCAGAGATTCCTTAGTAAAGTACAAATAGAGTAAATATAAATAAATAAGAAATATTAAATATTAGGCGCATATATATGTAGATATTATACATATCTCAGTGTGTTTCGCTATTTCCTAAAAGTAAATAAATATACAATTTCTTTGTACGTCTCTAAAAATTTGAAACAATGAAACACAATTGCACATATGATGTACATATATACATATACTTCAGAAGGAAATGTTACTTAAAATTTAGTTTCTACAAATTTACTTACAATGTCATAGGAAATTATTCATTCGCGAATTTTTATATATTCGTTACCATCCGAGATGCACATGTATATTGGAATTGAAAATATAGCAGAAACTGTTTTCATTTCGATTAAATTTCGAAAATATTTACCGGTAACGTGTATTCGAGATTTTATCGCCACGTAGCCATTGCTCATTTCTTTAGCCTCGACGATGTCGTAGCTATGTGTAATCCCAGTACCAAGTGCAATGGAATTAACATATAACAGTATACAAAAAAAAAAAAAAAGAAAAGAAAAATTTTTCTATAAAATTTCAGAAAGTTGACAAAGTTTAAAAGGAACTTTAACAATTTACAAAAGATAGAAAATATCTTAAACTTTGTGCGTAGCTCTTAGCTTGGTACCGTTTTCCAAAGATTTCTCTTTGGAAAACGATACCAATTACCAGGTCTCACCACGTGGAGGGGGCTACGCATCGAGAACCTACATGCGCCCTAATGGCGCAACCTACTGACGCTATCCGTATCAAAGATAGCCTAATCTAACTTGGAGCGAATTAAATTAAAGTGACTCTACAGACACATTATTTTATTTCGTGTCTTACGAAAGGATTCGCGATTATTCGAAAGACCGACTAGCCTACGCGACGTACTCTCGTGTACAATACAACTTAATGCCTCGGCACCCTCCCGATCGGGCCTAACCCACCCTGCCACTGTCGACCTCGCCATGGCTTACTTGATGATCTTAACGAACCAGTGAAACACCCAGAGGCAATCCGAGGGTCCTATGCGAGGCCTAACAGTCGGAATCACGCGCATGCTCCATACCCCGGCTCTATGCAAACATAACCACATAGCCGCCAAGTGCTAGAGGGGCAGGCAGGCACGCTCTTGCAATGATTCCGACTGCAGGGCCCATCCCCCGGTCGTGTGCACAGATTGGCACCCAGGACGACTAAGGTCGACGGACCCTCGTGTTGCTCCAGATGCCTCACCAGCCCGAGAGCCACCAAAGATCTCGATACATGACGAGATTAACAGTGGTAGAAATGAGTGTTGGAGACGAGCCGTGAGAATGACATACGAGGCGTGGAGTTGTCGAGTATACGGGAAGTACGTAGCGTAGGCTAGTCGGTACTTAGGAACGATCGCGATTATCGCGAGAACAATTATGTTCTATTTGGTAAACGAGAGGGATAAGAGAATTGATATATTTCGCTCCAAGTTAGGTAGCTTACCTTTATACAGAAAGCGCGCACATGATACTTAGTCTAGAGATCTATCTTATAATTGCTTAATGGGTGGTAGTAAATTGTTTAATGGGTGGGGGTGAGGGTGGGGGGGCCAGCCCCAACCTCACTTCGAATCTCCACCCCTCGCGCACAATGAAAATTTAGATGTTACACTTCCGAACTCAAACCGACAAATGATTTATAATACGTCGCGTTGCCCTTTATATAGCCTTCGATCGGCCGAGCCCCCCACTCCAACGGAAATTTTCGAACTTCGCCAATTTTATTAATTATTATTTTTCCGCTGTTATAACTAATAACTTATTAATTTTTTCATTGCTATTATGAATATACGCTGTAAGCAATTTGTTAGTAACAATATTAATTTGTTATTAACAATAGGTGTAATAATTTATAAACTTTTTATAAATTATGGATACATTTTAATACCAGTTCTTTATAAATTTACGTAATAACCAGAAATTTATTAATTTTGTCACTTTTATTATAAATTTACTTTATGAACAATTTATTTTTAAGAATATTAATTCGTTGTTAATAATAAACTGGGTAATGAATACATGTTTTATAAATTAAAACTGTATTCGCATCTCGATAGGATAAATTTCTGATACTTATATGTATTCAGGAATGTATGCTCTACAAGAATCACTCATTGGATATTACAAATTAGCGGAAAAGTTAAAATTTTTCGTACAGTGTTATCCGAAAGAGTTCTAAATTAAAAAATTCAAAATTAAATTATCCGAGAAAGTTCAAATTTAAATTATTTGAAACAGTTCAAATTCGACAGAATATGCCAACAAATTATAACACGCATGATATAAATTATATCATAGCACTTGCAGGCTGCATGTACTCAAGCGACGATTTCCCTTTTCAGATCCATACTCACCTGGTGAACGGTAGACCTGGTGCCCTGAATCACAGCGCGACCCTTCAGGAATTCACACAGGCCAGATACGTACGGCTTCGTCTTCAGGGTCTTCGTCGGAACGGAGAGGCAGTCGCGGATAAAAGGCGCGCTTTTTACTCGATAAAAGAAGTGAATATCGGCGGAAGGTGTCTATGTTCCGGTCACGCGGCGAGATGTCGCTACAGCGTCCAACATGGCGTAAGTCTCTGACATAACCTATAACGGTGCAAGACAGAGCGAAACGAAAGAGTAGAATAAAATTATAAAATAAATATTCCGTCGGAACGGTAATAAAAGTAGCACAGAGATTTCGATTCTCCGTGATACGAGAACATTTTGCAGCGATATATTTCGCTTTTACGATTTTCTTAATGGCGGTCGAACGAGGTGACCAGCTCTTGATCGAGTACAGGTTAGGTGTTAATGTACGATTTTTCTGCCCGTAAAGTCCGACTTATCAACGTATGTATTTAGCTTGTCAGCGGGTATATTGGCCATACGTGAAAGTAACGACATTACACTGCATTTAAGATATCGATTTGGAACACATATAAGAATTTTATACTTTACGCGTTATCTCGGAACGAGTTACGAGCCCTATAATTCACGCGTTGACTCGTGCTAAATTAAAAGTCGTAAAATTCACACATTGACTCCGAACGGATTACAAGTTCTGCAATTAACACATTTGCCTCGAACCTGTTGCAAGATTTCCCATCAACAACCGGATTCACTGCAGCCAGTGTTAAGGCGTTCATTAAATGCACCTTCGTGCGAACTTAATACTACCTTCAATTAGAAAGTTAGGTACACGATAAAATTTTGAAGATCATCGCTGAATTATCTGCTGTATAAGTTTCTTACTCGATGTTTAATACACACTTTGTGGATAGTGTGTAAAATTATGCACTTATCTTATTATTGCATCAGTATACATATATTTACTTGTAATTATTTGAGGTTTCAGGATTGCTTCGATTATTTGATTAATCTTTTGACTGTTTCTCCTATATTAAAAATAGGATATTAATAAAAATACATGACTCCCTTTTAAGAAAGAAAATGGAAATTTTAAGATAAGAGTTATATTCTTACTACGTTATTATTATTTGCTTTGCCAATAATCAATTCAAATTTTTTTATCTTCTATTTTAGGGTTTCCTTTTTTATTTTATTTCATACATATTAAGGATGGAAAATGGGTGATATGGAAAAAAACAGAAAATATCCAGATTTCTTTGATTCTTAGATATTTTATTTCAAATTATAAGTAAAAGGAATTGGACTTCATACGAAAACAAACATTTGTTGAATACAGTCACATGGTAACAAATTCTCCAACTTATCGTTAGAAATATAAGACGATTGTCTCCATAACCTCAAAATTGATTCTCAGCTCAATTCAGAGACTTTAAAAAAATTCCACATTCTCCGCTTTTTAGACTAAACAATCCTCGTCTCACTCCAAATACACAAAAGAAATTTTCTAGGTACACAAATATCGCAAGAATTTCTGATAGCACCGTAATAAGTAACGAGACCAAATAAAATAATAAAACTGTACAAACCATAGCTCAATTATCAAAGCCAATACCGACCGATTGAACCATCAGATGTTCCGGGAAACGAAAAACTGGCAGACAAGCCTAATAATCAGGCAAGCATCTCTGAAGGATGTTCGTCACGGAGGAACGGAAGTGAAGGTCTAGAAAGCAGCCGGTCACGTGACTTCATTTTCTTCTAGACAGTCCTCTCTAAAGTTAGATCTCGGGAATATCTGCGATTCGCAGGGGCGGCAGCCCGGGTCCAGGGAATAAATCTGTCGGAAATGCCATAAACTTGTCAGACCTTTGTCTACTGTCGCTGCTAATGGCAGGATAGACTCTGTCCCGAGTCCGTGACCCGCTAGAAACCGGCGGTACTCCGTAGGAACTACCGGACATTAAAGTTTCTTGCACGATCGCGCGGGAGTCGCTCGAAATTTTTGGCCGTCGTTAACTTTTTTCACGATCTGTCTCGCTAATGAGAGGCGGAGGTTGCGGAAGCGGCGGAAGAAAGGACGGAGGACCGTAGCTGCAAGGTAGAACGGGTTTCCGAGATTTATGGTCGCTGGAAAGCGTCTCTGGGTCCTTTCCGCTTCCAACATTTTTCTTCGATTTCAAAATGTCGCAATCGGTCAGGTTGGTCGAGTTTTGGGCACACCTGGAACATTTTTACGCGATTCACATTCACGCGATTTTTTAACGCGTTTTGACCGGTTATGGTATCTTTTCCAACTCCTTCTATTCATGCTCGCTATGTTATTTTCTTAACGCGTTTAATTTTTCACTTGTTGTTAGGAATGAGTAGTATTTAATTTTAATAACTGGGTTATAAATGCATTTATTTGAATATTTATTATATATTCTAATATATTATAGTACTGTAATACCATAATATAATAATATTAGGACAAAAATATAAAGTGCCATTTGATAAAACGAATTTAACTTTCAGAATTTCTGAAAAGAAATATTTAAAAAAAATTTTTTTTATCAGAATTGTATAGAACACAGGAAACACAGTAGCGTGTATTGAAAATATTTTTTGTCAGATTTTCGCAAGAACTTTAAAAATCTTGCTTAGCGATCCGTGAGATACCCTGTGTAATATAATGTATAATATAATGTTTATGATATATAATATAATAAATGTACATTTTATATTATATATGATCTATTATATTATATAAAGAGATGCATTTCTGATAAATCTAAATTCTTAATAAACTATAAATCATCGGAAAAATGAAAATTGGCTATTCATTATTAACCCTCTCCACTCCTTGTCGCCACTATGGCACTAGAATTCCGCTGCATTTATATAAAAAATTATTAGATGAAATTCCCGAAGCATTACCATGTGTTTACTGTTAGATATTATACCAGCATACCTTTGGCAAAAGACCTAATAAAAATGAAATGCCATTTGAGTAGTACTATAAAAGCTAACAGGAGAGGTAAACTGTCTCGGAGTTGCTGGTAAGTCATATTAGAAATTGCTCGGAGTGCAAAGGGTTAAATTATAAAATATTAGGATACTGTAAAATGTGCTATAGTTATTATAAATTTTTGGTAAATTATGAACTATCGTCGAAATGAAAATGGACAATTTTTCATTTTTATGAACAATGTAATTAATTACGTCATCCAGAAATTCCAATTTCACCAACCCGTCTGACGAATCAATTCTTCTCCACCTTGAATTCGATATATCTTCAGTAAAATAGGATAGAATAAGAAAGGATAAGAAAGGAACAATTGCAAATGATTAATTATTTCTCCTCGAAACTCGAGTTCTCAGAGCGGCGAAATGACCCAGTCACTGTAATAAGAATCTCGCATACCATTTAATGCCCACGAATGGGCACATTCGCGAAGTCGAGCTTCAACAATCGTGATCTTTCAGAATCCTGGAGAGGTGGAGAACCGTGGTTGTTAATTGTTGCGAAACGATTCTTCGTCGTGCATTAATCACCCTCCGCGAGTGCCATTTCGCCTTCGAGAAATAATGAAATTGGATAAAAATCGCCGGTCGGTGGTTCGCGTCAAAGGACCTGCTGTTATTCTCACGTTCCATTATCCTTGTACCACGATGCCTGAGTTGGCCAGGGAACATACTGATCGATGTTGAACTCGATGCGTTATCGAGTCGCTCGAACGAGATCTAACTGGGATTTTGGTTCAAGGATCAGGTTGGTGACTGTGGTGGGTGGATTAGATACGTGTCGTAAGCTTTTATATGAAATACAGTTACACTTGGGACTTCCTTTATGTCGTCGAAGTGGACGACATAAAAATATTATGAGAATACGAATTTACAACGAAATACAAAAATTGATTTAAAAATTATAAATTATGTAAAAGATAATTTATTATGTAAATAATTATTTAGAAGTAAATATGTATTATTTACTTGCAACGTTTAGTGGGATTTTGTTGATAATTTTGAATAGATTCCAGAGGTTTCTGGCAAATTTTTAGATTGAAAATTTAATTTTTTGATTTTATGTGGAAATTATATAGTATAAAATTATAAGGGATTGATTTATTCTGATTTATAGTAGCAGAATTAGTAATTCGAGTGACGAATTAATTCTTAATTCGTTAAATTAATTAGTTAGAACATTAATTCATTTTGAATTAAGGAATCGACTATAATGGGTAGTTAAAACAGTATAGAGGGTAGTTGAATAATATTTTACTACTATTTTATTAACAGAAATTATTATTTTCTTTCCATTTATGATCAAATTCTAATCTTTTAGATATAATAATTAAGTTAGGAAGTCATAATAATTATGATTTTTAATATCATCATTTTAACACCATATACCAAAAATTTACAATAACTAAGGCACATTCTAAAATAATTATTTACTCAGAAATCTAGTATAACTATGGTATATTGTATAATAACCACTATTAATAATTACTATAGTATATTCTATAATAATTACAATTAAAAATCTACAATCACTATGTCACATTCTAAAATATCTATTCACTCAGAAATTTGCAATCACTATGACACATTCTAAAATGGCTACTCACTCAGAAGTCTCCACCAACTATAGTACCATATGTTCCATAATAATTACTCACATAAAAATCCGCAATGACTATGGCACATTCTAAAATAGCTACACACATAGGCATCTCCACCAATTACAGTATAGTATGTTCTTTAATAACTACTCACCTAAACATCTGCAATAACTATGCTACATTCTATAATACCCAACCTGACCCAATGTTACCATAACGAAAGGGATGATGAGCATCGAGCATCACAACTCTCTTCGACTAACGAGGGCCACGAGTCGTCTAAAAAATTCAGCCAGGCCACGAAACTTTTTATCCCGATCGTCACCGTTCGTTCGACAACGAATTCAATTCGATTAGAATCGACTTTTGGCAATGCTCGCCAGGGTAAATTGAATTAGTTTTTGGGCGGGTCCGGCGCAGCACGCGGCCAACGATTGGCACGTAGACCGAATTGCGATCGCATTGCTGAATAACGAAGCCACCGGTCGAGCATTCGAAATATTCTTCCAGTTACGTCTCAATCCGATTCTCATCATCGATCATATACTGACCTTGGTATTCCACTTTGTTCTCTTCTCGTCTTTTTCGAATAAAAAGTTCCATCTTTATGATTGTATATGGAGTTACTTTATGGTATTGTGTCGATAAACGTGAAATTGCTAAACATCTTAGGGTTTCCAGTAAACTATGATTGTCTCAAATTTGTAGATTTAATATTATTCTTTGGAGTTCATACGTTTTATCTGTGGATGTGAAATTAGTGGAAAGATAGATGGAATGTTTCAAATATCAATTTTATTTGTAGTAATTTTGGATTTCTTATAGGAATAAATTTTTTCCAAATTTCGTAGAGGCATATTAATTATATTATTTTCATATTGGAAATAAATTTTTTCCAAATTTCTTAGAGACATATTAATTATATTATTTTCAGGATTAAGAATTTCTTCTATTCTTATTAATTAAAATATTGTATATTAAAAATGCACTATTAAATATAGAATAATTTATTATTGTATATTATATTTTTATGAATAATTATTAGTATATAGTTATATCAAAGAATTATCGTGTCATTAAAATAACTCTCCTATTTATAACAATATTCTGAAGCTTTCTACATTTTCTCTACAATTTTTTAATATTCGTAAAAAATCGAATATCTCTTTGCACTATATGCATATGCGTAAAGATAATTCCATTGTGCCCTTACTTTTCTGTTATCCCCTTCAATTATCGCTCTTCGTAAAATGTACATACTACAGAATTACTTTGTAGAACAACACGCTGTCTACGAACATCTTTCTCGATTATTATATATAGCGTGTTCCGGCGTTAATTAAGCTCTCGGTACATCGATCTCAGTAAATCATCCGATAATGTTTCATTGAAGCAGTCATTAACCGTTTCCCGCGGTGCGTCTATTCTTATGAATGACAATGGTCATTAATGAAAGCACAATGAGGCCTGTGATGCGTCGTAAAAAGTGTAAATTACGATTTACTGCACTCGTCTGGTGCTCAATATCTCCGAGTTACCATATAAACACGCCTCGTAAGCCTTATCATTTATGGGTTTGTAATTCCGCTCGTAGAGTACGATCGCTGTTCACAATGGATCTTCAATAACTTATTGAGATCACGTGCTGCATGAACGCGATGAATGGAAAAGTTCGTGATTTAATTTCTCTTCTTTCTCTAATTCATGTTACGTTTAAACACCTGTTACGTAGAATTAAGCTCTTCTGCAGGTTCATTTCTTTCACGTAGGTAATACATTTGCTATAGAAACTACGGTAACTTCCTGTGAATTAAAAAATTACGGTTTTCCTGTTTAAAAAATATAATAATGGTACTGAAATGCGAAAAAATGGCACCCTTTGTTATATTGGTAATTAATTCGAATTTTATAGTTTCAATCTTTTTATTTCAAAGGCAGTATAATAGTAGCATAGTATATTATAGTAAATGAGAGAAATACTCCTTTGTTTTTTGTGCAGGATATGAATTCGAATTCAGAATTACGAATTTTCTATTTAAAAGCAGACAATTCAAATTTATAATTAGGAATTTTTTCCTTTTTTTAAAAATTTAGGAAAGTAAATAGGAGTAATACCCTTTTTTGTATTTTCATATATTTTATTTTTGTATATTTTTGTTTAAAATATACAATGATAGGTGAAGTAAATAATAGAACGTCCTGTTATATGAATATTTAGTTCTAAAATTATGATATATCTGTTCACGAGGTACAGTGATAGTCATAATGATAAGCAGATGAGAACAATAACATTTTCTGTACAAATTATTAATTTCAATTTAAATGATAATTTTCCTGTTTAGAAATTAGTTCTGTTTAGTACAGAAATAAATGAGAATAAAACAAAAGTAGATTTGTAAGAGGATAATAATAAAGGTACAAATTTTTACGTCAACGTTATTGAATAATAGGAATGGAACCCCTAGTGCTTCTTTCGAAATACAAATGAACAAGCTCGGTCGATAAATTTAAACAGAGAAAACATGGGGTTAACTCAATGCGGGTGGTCTCGTCACTTAAAAGGGAAACTAAGCGTGGTATATTGGATCGTGTTCCCCACGCCAAAGTGCTCGATATTATTTACTACCGTGATAATAGTTGTTCTAGGCGAAGTATGGCAGTCTTACGTGTATTGCACGGCTGCGAATAGCCGAACCTCTACTGAATCTGTGTTTTCTGAATGTTTTAGCATATATTACCTTGTTGACATATTTAATGTGCACCCAGCTGCGATTTGTTAGAAAAATTTATAATTCTCATATTTAATAGTATTTCGTTGAAACTTATTAGAAAATTTTTATACCTTTATATTAAATTATGGAGTCCGTTCGAAATTTTGCAAGAATTTATTTTAAAAATTATTGATTGTCTTGATGTATTCATTGTTTTGTAAGAATTTGCTCGTAAAGTCAGTGATTTTTATATTAAATGATATAAAAATTTATTAAAAACATTCGTGACCTTTATATCGAATTTCTATCTTAGGAATCAAATTTAACATTGTTTGAAGAATTAGCATTAACCCCTCACCAATTTTTCCTAAAAATACTATAGAATTTCCTTCGATTTTTCACATATCCAGTATCCCATAAAATATTCCTATTCCATAAAAATATCACTTGAAGATTAAACCATGTTTCATCAATACTAAGATTTACCTTTAACTCTTTATCAATAGCAACCAAAATCCTTGACAAGAAGTTACAATGCAAACAAATTTCAATAAAATTAAACATACAATAATTATTGTCCTCACTCTCGTTATAAAATCATAAAATTGCACTTTCGAAGAATAGCACCCCTATAAGGTCTACCGATGCACCCTGAGACGTATGAAAATTCGTCTCGCAATGAGAATTATGCTTCTCGAAATAAAATTCGCTAGCCAATCGAGCCGCGCGCGAATTAATGTCCCCGATAACGTTGCCTCCTATCTTAACGTTCCTATAAATTCCGAAACGTCAGAAAGAAGCGATTGCACGGCCATTCTGTCCGCTGCTCGAGCGCAATACCGGATATCTGTATCGCGAGGCATAAAGAAGCATCTTCGTTGCAGAGGCCTTGTCGCGATTTATAAAGCACGCTTATGCTTCACCCCATATCCATTACGTCTTCCGCGTTAATTGATTCGATGGCCGCGAGAAATGGCTAGAAACCGGAAGTGCGCTATCGTTCACCCTTCTCTTTCTCTTTTTCGCTTTGCTAGACTGCAAGCGGGATCATAGTTTCTTGGAAATGTGATTACCAGGCGTAATTATTCATCGAGCATCGTGGATACGCGAATATTTTCCTGTTGGAAGGTTGTTATACAGGGTGGACTCGTGTGTCGTGACCATCGCGATTAAATTGGAGAAACCATCAAAGTTATTTCGTTCTAGATAATAGGATGTGATAGAATAACGAGGAGATAATGACGCTCGATTTTTCTTAAAAATCAACTTATTACAAATTTACATATTTCTTTTAGTTTTCTGATAAATGGAATTTTATTTCTCTTTTTTGATTGAAAGGAATTGATTCTCGTTGAGTTATGTAAGAGATGACTGCCTGCAAAATTCTGAAGATCTATAGCGGTGAAGTAGATATGGTATATATGATGAAGATCAAAATAATGTGATTAATTAATCATTTCATAGGCTAATTTACATGGGATTAATTTCTACGTTTTTGCCAAAAATATCACTGATTGTACATCACTATAAACTATTACAGATATACTCATATAGAAATAATAAATAAATTTACGTTACTACTGTGAAATATTAAGATCATAATCACAATACACACCATGAAATATGAAAAGCCCATACTCGTAGGAAATTTCTCTGTAATCACGACAGAATACATCACTCCCCATTCGCTAAACACACCCACAACCCAGCACTACAGTACACCCACAACTAAAACACGAAATATTTTATCTTGTAAGCCAATACACCAACGTCAGACACTGACAAAATCCACCGATACTTAATCAAATGTTACCTTCAATATTCAGCAGAAAGTAAATCGTCCTTCCCGCGCAAAAGCTAAAAGAATCGAACATTTAGTCGGTTACCCTGTCGCGGAGATTAATAAGGTTCCATTAAGAGGTGGTATTGTTTCTCAGCACCAAGAATGCGAATGCGAGCGCCACACGTGCGGCGAAAGATGCGAAAAATGCTGTCCCATGTACAATCAGATTCCGTGGAAACCTGGCACAGCTGCGAAGGGCTTTCACTGTGAGAAATGCAACTGCAATGGACATGCAACCTCGTGCAGATATGATCAGGATGTGGCCGACAGAAGAATGTCCATGGACATTCGTGGGAAATTTCGCGGCGGTGGCGTCTGCATTAATTGCACAGTAAGCCCGAATTTCTCGAGAGAAATCAGATCGATAGATCATGCTTTGCGAATGGGAATGCCGTTGAAGAGGAATAAGAAACCTTTCTAGCCGCCTGCGAGTTTCGTGCCATTTTTCCCGGCACGTGGAATGAGAATTATGGTCGCTCGTAGATTCGTGTGAATGCGAATTGTATAATTTGTTTGTGTGGTGTGTCACGATTTTGTTTGTCATGCATAATTGTTTCATTGAAACTTGTAGTTTAGTCACCGAGTGTTTTTCATACCTTTGGCTAGAGTGTATTTGCTCGAGCGATTAAATAGGGCAGATTGTATATAACACCGTTGAAAAATTTATTTCCTTTCTTCCTTACTTAAATATGATCTGAAATATATCAAAGTAGAACAATATCGTGTTGCCATAATCAATTGTTATAGATTTGGCTTTTTTAATTTTCTATTTTATTATTTTTTTTTTATTTTATTGTTAAGTGTTGTAAAAATTTCTCAATTTATTTATATGATAGAGATATTATAGTTTATCGAATTATATATGATTGATACTATATTACTAAAATGTATTAATCTATAATCTATCTATATAATACAAGAATGTATTAATTAATGTATTGTAATCTCAGACGGTCTTTGGATTTTAATTAATTATAAATATAATATCGATATTTTAGATTAATTTCCCTGTTTACACGCTCGCAGTGAGAATTGTATTTAGATGACACCTCTGTGTAGCCCTGTACGCTTTAATGTAAATCGCTGCTACCCCTAGTCTCTGTCTCAAGATTGCCATCTACACTGTGCTTCTCATAAAACATAGCGCTTACGATATATTCCTAATACTTAAATTTCATGATAACAAGTAAACACTGAGTATTTGGAAATGCGTATGGAATTGTAAATGTCTATGGTAACGTAATTTGCGTAAAATAATTTGTTCCAGGATCACACGGCTGGGATCAATTGCGAAAAGTGTCAAGTTGGTTATTACAGGCCTAACGGAGTTGCCCCTGATGCATCCGAACCTTGCTTACCTTGCGACTGCAACGTGCACGGTAGCACCGGCTACTGCACCCCTGATGACTCCTACACACACCTGGGAAAGGTAGGCACAAGGTGTATAAAGGCGTACCGTGATAAACGAATTTTGTGTATCGTAATATTAGGCATTTTACGTATCGTATCTCAAACAAATGAAATATATTCATTTTGAATTTTGTAAATTTCCTAACTATGAAAATTTGGTAAATTTGTAATGACATATGCAAAATTATATAATGATACGTTGTACTATGTTTGAAATGGTTTGAAATGATTTGTGTGACGTGGGATTAAAGTTTTGTAACGTACCATTTTCAATTTTGTAATTCTTGTTACGCTACACTTTATTTTAATTTATAAATTTTAATATTCAAAGTGAAACCAAAAATAATGGGAAAATCTTTTGAAAAGAGAATATTTTCTGATAAATATCTAGCAAATACATTTCTTAATTTTTAACACTATAAATTCTAAATAAATTTAAATACCACTTGAGTTATTATTATTTAATTCATAGATAATTCCATCATGAAATTAAATCAATTGCAAAAAAATTAAGAAAAAGATTAAAAATCCGTAGCTATGCTTATCTCCTTTTGAAAATCCATTTTTCACCGTCAATATTATCCTCCTTGTCCAAATCGATCTTGATCGAGTTAAACACCGATGGTGTTCCAGGTAGCAGGCGCTTGTGATTGCAAACCCGGTTACTCGGGCTACAAATGCGACCAGTGTGCAGCCGGTTACCGTCAGTTTCCTGACTGCATGCCCTGTCCGTGCGATTCCCGTGGGATTTTACCGTCTCACGACTGTGAAGGAGACTGTCTCTGCAAGGCGAACGTTGCTGGCGAATTTTGCGACGAGTGCAAACCGGGCCACTTCGCGCTGACCAAGGAGAATCTCGATGGGTGTCTTCCGTGTTACTGCTTTGGGGTTAGCGATCGTTGTGGAAGTGCCAGCTTGTCTTACACCGGGGTAAGTTTCTTTGGAAATTAATTGGAAAAAAAAAAAGTTACGTTATTTTGATTGGTTAGGGTTGATTAAAGTGGTTCAGAAGTGGGATCCCAAATTTGTGGGGATGAGAGTATTTTATTGTGTATATTGAGTTTTATGTTGAGTAAGCATGAATAAGTTTTATATTAGTGAGTATTTGAGGCTTAATACATATTTAAGTAGGTTCTTTATAAAATAGATATTTTATTTGTACGCAATATATTATTGTTAATTAAATGTAATGAGGAATTTTGCTAGATAGAAAATAAAATTCTGTGGTAAATGATATAATTATATGTTTAAAGAATTTTATTTTGTTTGTTTATATTTGTGTCATTATATTATAAATATTAGTATAGAGATCTTCAATCTTTTGCTTCAAAAGTTTTACCAATGAACAGGACTAGAATTATACTACAAAAATGAAATTAACAATACATATATACATATAAATATTCCTAAAAAACTTCTTAATATTATTTACATACACTGTCAGTCATAAATACTAAAAAATGAAATCCATAAGAAAATTGGAGCTGAAAGCTATACCATACTGAACTTGAAATTAAAGTAAAAAGACCTAGGACTAGTAAATGAATTGCAGTTTAGTTATACACATCAAAACAATAAAATTAGCACTTAAAATGTAAATATAAATATCCCTCAACGACATTTTACTATTATTTACATATATAGTCATTCATAAATATTCAAGAATAAACTGTACTCTAAGAAAATTGAAATTGAAAGCTATACTTTACTGCAGCTAACAGACAGACGTGAAACAAGACGAAACACGACAAGAAGAGGTATAATAACAGACGAAGCATGTAAAAAGTATACAGTGTGCTACAACGAAATAGATAGTTAATTGCACCGCACGTTGACAGTAATTAAAAATGCATGGAATCAACCCCCTCATTTGAACACTCGACTCTTAGTAAAAAGGACGCTCAGGTTTCGAGATGAACTGAATAAATGGACAATAACTGCATTTATCTACTCACGAGCAAGGGACAAGTCGGCAATTACTTTGTCGCACGACAACTCTTCTGCATTACGTGCACTGAGTGAAACGAGCAGAAACGTAATAGCACGTGGTTATCGTTTTAACGCGAAAGTGGAAAATTAAATCCAGCACAGTCCCATAATGAAATGGTTGTAAATTACACTTTGCACTTCAGACTGAAATGTTAATTGTAATTGATTTCTTGATTATACCATACATACTTATTTTCTTTTTTAATTACTACATTTTACACCGTATTTTTTCTGAAGTTCCTGTTTTTGTATTTGTTAGATTGGTCGAGAAATTCTGTCTTTAAATCTAATTCGATATGAAGATTTCAGAAAATTTCTTATATTTTAGTCCAATTATATATTTAGCAATCATGATAGCAATTAATAACACAAAAATCAGTTGTATATTTAATAGAAAATAGTCTCTTACTATTTTTATTAAAATGGTGTTTAAATTTATTAAACATTCTGAATGTGTTTTGCTAAGGTTGAATTTATGACAAATTGTCAATTGACTATAAAATTAAATAAAGAAACTTAAAAATCGAAACTCAATTTCGACTCGATTAAGCTCAAATTATCACCTGCTATCAGATACATGATTTAGTCAACACTATAAAAATCGATATATCCTAATCTTGCACCATAAAATTAAATTCTAAATTCCCACTTATTTAAATCCTCCATAAATTTCCAAAGCAAGAAAAAAGAATTCGAAATTCAATATCTCACTGAGAAAATTTTGGCATCTAAAAGGAAAAATTTTAAATTTCTGTACAAATATAAATTTTTTAAATATTCAATATTATTGAGGATGGAAATAAAAAAAGGAAGAGAAAAAAATAGAAAAATTCTTATTTAATGATATTCGAACTATAATTTGATCTACGAAAATTTCATGCGTGGTATCATCTATTCTCGTTAATTATTTCAGATATCGTCGCTGGAGAATTGGTTAGTGAGCGACATGAACGCAACCCGCGCCATTGTTCCTATTTTGGACGTGGATAATGGCTGGCTCACGATCGCGGCGTTCGACGTGGAATACGACAGTCCTTTCTGGCTGGCCCCGCGAATTTATTGCGGTAATCGACTCTCGTCTTACGGCAGCAATCTTACTTACTCTGTCAGCTGGGTCGTTATGCGCGGTGACACCAGTGGAAAGCCGACTACAGGACCCAACGTTATTCTGGTTGTAAGTATACGCCTGATGATGTATGAGTAATGGCGCGAATGAGCGCTAATTCGAATGTATTCGAAAGAACAAATTATTCTGCGACTAATTATAAACGAAATCTGCTGATAGGTATAAATAATTTAAATCGATTTACGTCGTGGAAAGAATCGATTGTGATCGTCGCCATTTCGATTGCTTCCAATTTTTAAATAATTTTTGCAGATTTCAAATCGAATTTTAATTTGTGCACTGATATACACGAGTGTCAATGGCCCAAGGGATTTTTATACTTTGTTGAGGAACAGAGTTTCTGTAATTTCGAGACTACTCATTGTGACTAAGTAATTAGTTTGTGTAATGGTTATGTGGCACGATTTCGATTTTTAATAATTTTTTGTAACTTCATATCTGATTTTTATATACTGTTATATGTGTCCAGAATTTACGCGATTTTTGATATGTTATTCTATAATTTTATACTAGTATAATAATTCAATCTAATTTGTATGCATAGGTATCTATTTTTCAATGAAAAGATGAAATATACAAATTTGTCGCAGAATATCAAATTTCCTATTTGTTCATTTGAAAACAATTTTTATAATAAGTCTGTTTCTCAAAAAAATGGAAAAATTATTTTCTCGCGAGGATAATGCAATTCGTATCACGTCCCAGGAGATGTGCAACGGATCCTTCTTTTCGTCATTTAAACATAGATATTATACACGACATTTGCCAAGTATAGCATCACTTCTCCTTGCTTATGAAACATTAAAGACCCCTGAATGCATGAGTAGTTACCAGACCACCCTGTACATTTCCATCCCGTTGCATCCCTGTTAGGTTGTTCGTTTGCCCCGAAAGGTAGATTACGATGATTAACATTTTTTTTTTGAATTAATCTCCTCGTCTCGTTTCCTCGCAGGGTAATAATGGCATGCGAATAGCTTACGGCGAGGAACAATATAATGGCCAGGAAGCAGAGATCATCGTACCTCTACGCGAAAACGGCTGGTACCATGTACGCGGAGAGATCCAAGATATTCCTACCAGGCAGAGACGAACCGAATTTCGCGGAGACTCTGTTACCAGGGTACAAATGATGGGGGTCCTCGCGAATTTGAAGCATGTCATGATTAGGGCGCAGTATCATTCCGAGCAGATCGAAGGAAGGTACGTGAATCGTAGGAAAATACAATTAAAAAAAATTTGTTTTCTTTGGTGTAATATTTTTGACATTTTATTAATTTATTACTGTGAAAATTTAATTTCATTGGATGGTAATTAAATAGTTTCCATCCTTTATAAGTGAAATTTTATTTTGTTCTGAAAAAAGAATTTATAATTTTAGATGACGAATAAAATGTTTTATATCAGTACTGTAGTGTAATGATGCAGTGATAAATAAATAAAATGGAAATTAAAAAATATAGGTATATAAATATCTATATACAGCTTCCAAAGTATTTGTTATTATTCAGGGGGAGAATATAATATATTTAAAAAAAGGAAGAAAATTTACCAAGAAATTTATTTAAAAAATATTTTAATGAATGTATAGTATATAGAAGATTCTAAACGATTTTTAAACAATTATTTTAATCCACGAAAAAGAAATAAAGATTCTGAAATGTCGGTAAGGTAGAAAAATAAAGTAGTATTACTGAATATAAATTTGTCAGTGAAGTTAGTCACAAGTATCGCTGTAGATAATTAAAGAATTTTCTGGAAGCCATAGAAGAATTCTAATAACAATGTGGTATCGGTTGCGTATATCGCAGCCAGTCTCCACGACCTCGAATATTGCGAAAACAATATTTACAGAAAACCGATCACGTTTCGCGCCATTCTCTTGAGGCACTAGTTGTCACGTGGACAGCGGGAACTCGCGAATTCTACCAATCAGCATTGACTTTCACAACAAATTCGAGGGTTAAACGTCTGTTTTCGTTTCAGTCTACAGTCAGCAGTCGTGTCAGTCGGAGAGGTTATATCCGTTGGTGAAAACAATAATTTAGTCGAGGAGTGCGAATGTCCCGAGGGATACACGGGGCTGTCTTGCGAAAATTGTGCGTGGGGCTACGTAAAATTGATCAAGAACGGATCCGATCAACAGGATCATCACGTGTGCGTGAAGTGCGATTGTAATGGACACGCGAGTACTTGCGATCTTGTGCTGGGAGAATGCACGGTGAGTATCTCTGTATTTATGAAAATTGCGAAGAGAATTCGCAATAGAAATCACTTATTATTCCTTTAGCTTTGTTCTTCAAAATATGTGTAATACAGGTTATATACTTTTTATGAATTGGAGGTTAGAGTGTAGAGATTAATTTTGATTTGCAAAGGTCCTTTGAAATATGACATTAGAGGGCGACAGTTTATTCTAGAAAATGGAGTATTTCAATTGGGTGTGGTTATGTGGATATTGATAGTGTGAAATTAGTATATGGTAAGAAAATTGTATTACAAATTGATTATTAGCAAATATTTGAATTAGTAGGGAAAATATAAATTTGTAGATATTTAATAGTAGATAACTACTGGAAGAATAGGTAATTTAATTTTTATTTACTTTTATTTTGATACAATTTTATATTATTTAATACATTTTGTTAATTATATATATATATATACTAGAGAATATTATATCTTCTGTGTTCTCTTACCTCTCTTTCATGAAATCTATAAAATATTCAATGATTAAAGTAATATAAGAAAATAGAAATAAAATAGTATTGAATTAACATAAAGTATGTAAATATACCTTAATACTGTGATACTATGTAAATGAAATGTAAATGAAAGTAAATTCACCATATCTTAGTATATGAAGTCTTCCTAGTATAGACATAAACCTAAACCTGTTTGCATGGATTCCTTCCTTACCTCGAATGACTTAACCGTCTAGTGATAGTGAAGAAAATGTATGGTAACTTAAACAAGTTTTATCCAAAGAGATGTTGCATTTATCAGCTATCAATATCCAAAGCATCAACTGTAACTAATTCAATATATTGTTTATTTTATATATCTTTTATTTTTTATCATATTATTTCAAATTAAACATTTTCATACCTAATTTTACTCTATTTTAGTACATTATAAAATTAATTTTCTTTTTTTATTAGAATAATATTTATTTATTTGATTTATTTTATTTTGTTCCACAGAACTGTGAACATAACACAGTGGGTCCTAAATGCGATCGTTGTGCTCGAGGTTTCTTTGGCATTGCTCTTAAGGGCACCCCACATGATTGTAAAAGATGTGCATGTCCACTCCTAATCGAGAGCAACAATTTTAGTCCAAATTGTCAACTCGATGACCCTACTGACATTGACAGTGGATACGTGTGCACACAATGTCCAAAGGGGTACACTGGGGATCACTGTGAAAGGTAAATACACAATTAGCTTTATAAATTATTACAATTTAACTATTGAATTTTGAATAAAATATTTTTATTTACATTTGATAGTGCAACTCTTAAAATCCTAGAATATATTTTTCAAAAGTTGTAATAAAATAATTATCCCTAAAATTTTATCAATATTAACATATTATTAATAGTAATAATAACAATAAATAAGTATTGTAAATTTAATATTTTAATTTCCACGATTTTATTAATAATAAATACAATTTTATTCCCAAAGCTGTGACATAGGATATTTTGGAAATCCCATGGTACCCGGTGGCACATGCGAGTCCTGCTTTTGCGGCGGCGGTCCATGCGATCAGGAAACAGGACGTTGCTTGGAGTGTCGCGGTAACACGGAAGGCTGGAAATGTGACAAATGTAAACCAGCTCATTACGGAAATCCCTTGGAACAGAACTGCTTGCGTGAGTATCATCTGTTACTTCTGGTTCGTTATTTCATCGTTGTAAGCACGCAATATCCCGTGGATATCGAACGTTCCTGAACACTTTGATCGCTAAATGCTGTCTAATATATTAACGCATGGTACAACGCGTATATTTAATAGGAAGAACCGATCGTAGCTTGAACAGTGTTGTTAATTATAGGAAGCTAACCGTTGAGTAGGTTATTAAATTCCATAATGGATATAGTATAAGTGGGATGTTCAGAGAGAATTCCTAAATGCTGTCGTGGTCAGGAAAATGATTTTCGAGTTATTAAATTTAACGTGTTTCAGTGATAACGTAATTTATAATTATAGAAAGAATCGTGTATGGGTTATGGAAATTTATCTTGTATCATCATTTCCTCTCGATATTTCAAAATGCACTATGCTTAAAAATTTCTGGTGTTTAAGTAAATAAATGTTTACACATACATAGGTGAAAGAATGGGCCATGATAAATTACCAGTTAAATGACCTTATCGGTACAAAACTCCCTCTGTCTAGATCACTTAACTTGAACATATTTATTAAGTTATGAAGAAAATTATAGGCCCCATTAAGAAAGGAATAGCGTAATTTTAATAAATAAAATTAATTATAAAAATCCCCTTTTTTGGAATAGACTCATCAAAGCACGATTATTAATTTCTCAACCCCTAGAACTTTACCCCTTCCCAAACCACAAACCTATTCAAAATGATCATCTTCACCCCCAACACGATTTTCCCTCACGAATGTCCATTCCATACCAAGACTCTATAGTACACGTTTACGGGCAAGGAATCTAAACACGAAAATCTCATGTGTTACAGCCTGCAACTGCGATTCTCTGGGCAGCGGTTCCGCCGAATGCGACAAGAGGAGCGGTCAGTGTCCCTGCAAGCCTTTGTTCGAGGGTCGTGACTGCTCTTCTTGCATCGAAGGTTACGGGAACGTGACTGCAGGTTGCCGGGAATGCGACTGCGACGTGGGTGCCCTCGACGAGGTCTGCGATCCCGTAACCGGCGAATGCAGGTGCGCGGATGGCATCCTTGGCTTCCGGTGTGATCACTGCGATGTCGACCATTATGGCTTGTCCGCGGGTGGCTGCAAAGGTAAGTACTGTCTTCAACTTTTTCTATACAAATAGTGTTGTAAAACTATCGTTTCATAACAGTTGTAAAGCAATACTTAACGCTTGTTATTCTATTGCGATAAAATTTTCTCTTCAAAGAGAGAGAGAGAGAGAGAGAGAGAGAGAGAGAGAGAGAGATCAAATTAATGTGAAAAGAAAAGAAGATTTATTTTGACATAGGAGATCTTGTAGACATCTTAGGTAGAATATTTGCTAGATAGAAACATTTTAGTTTTAGTGTCTGAATGGGACATTTTGTAGATAGAATTTATAAGATATTACAGGGTTTCATTAGAGGAATAGATAGGAACGTGTATCAAGGAATTCGTATTTTAATTATTCCTTTAATTCTGAATATTATTAGTAAAATTTTGTCGAGAGGACCTCATCTGTCATAATTAGTAAATATAAATAGCAATCACCGTGTATTAAAATAAACCTGAGTTAAAATATAAACATATCACTACCCAAGTCTCCCTGTTAGGTGTATTCGCATATACCTAACCAGTCTAGTACACCTAATCTACTCTAGTATCCGTCTTCGCTGCTATTAAAACATCTAATTATATATGCAGCAAGAACACGGATTTTAAATTCTCTGACACGAGTAACACGTGTCTTCGTGATGCACGTTCGGAACCAGGAACCCTCTGTACATACTTGCAGCAGGTAGCATAATTCGGAACGAAGGAGGAACGTAGGTTTCCTTGGTTTCTGGAGGTAGGAAGCGCAGCGTGCTTGCTGTTGAGAAACGCGAGCAAGAGTAATGCATAACGCCTGGTCTTGTTTCAACTAAGCCGCGGATGTTTATCTCGGGTACTCCCTTAAGTACGGGGCACTTATCCAGACGGACAGCAGGTCGTGAGTCGAGTATGTTACTCGAGATTTACAAGAGTCGAACCACCCTTGCTCGTGGAACGTTTCTGACGTATAATCTGTTTAGCTTAGTTTTAATTTACGATCGCGATTTCCGCGTGCAGCACCGTTTCGCCTTCCACGTTTTTCAACAGTTGCCTTCACGTGTTTCCAGTTCTTTGCATTGTATTAGGTCCTCGTGTCAAGGGCTATGGGCGTGGTTAAGGTTTCGAGGAATTCTTCTTTGCTGGATAACATAATAGAGTGACTTTTAGGATAGCAGGAAGGGAGTTAATCTAGGGGTTTACGTGGTGATTACAGGGTGCCAGAGTTTGGGGTGCGATGAAAGGTATGAGAAATTTTAGGGGTGATTGAGAATGAAGATGAAGTTGTTAGAAGATTGTAAGGGTTAATTGAGGAATTCAGATTTTTCTTAAGAGTTGGATATTTTGATATGAATATTTGATTTTGTTGTTTTTAATTCCTTCAATGTGCAAATTAATTTTTGTGATGGAGCCTAGGTTATTTTAGACCTGAGATATTAAGGGACGATAGAAAAAGGACATTCTTTATCTATCAAATATTTCCAGTATAATTTTATTTTTTAAATATTTTTAGTTCTAAGAAAGCAAATAGTATTATTAAATAAAAGATAAATGAATAATAGGAAAACAGTGCAAAGTAGAATCTCTGATAACCTAGATTAACTATCACTTATCATATCCTTGGTATCAAGGACAGAAATTAACATAACGAATAAGTATAATAAGAATATATAAATAAGACACGCGATGATCAATTTTTCATCGATTGTCTGATGTTACGAGTGAGGAAGTTAGGACCATCATCCACGATAATAATTTTTCCTTTCTCTTCAACAATGTAGCAGTTGTAAACAACGTTGCTATCTCAAATTCCTATGTACACGTATTTATTACTCGAAAATCGTGTCTCTAGTCTCTCATTTCCGTCCACTTTATCGGTTCTCTGCTCTGAAGCAGCCTGTTCAGCCCGTTGTGATCGCAGCCTTAGATTGTCACAGCTGGTACACTCCGCGAGGATGTCGAAGATCGGGCTGGTAGATCAGGCCAGCACAAAGAATCCCATAAATCGTAATCATTCGGTGCGAGGCCGAATGCTCGCGTAAACGCGCTTAAGGCTTCTCTCTTTGCTCGTCATCGCCGATCTAACCGTGGATCATGCCAGTTGCGTAATCCACAGCCACTCGTGTTCCATGGTGTCCCGTTACTCGAAAGATGGATCGATCCACCCATCGCAAACGCGAGATGAATGTAGTCACTGTGCCGTTCGCGTGGCTTTTTCTGCCATATTTTTGTCACCGGCCAGACGTTTGGACAAATTACTAGGTTGCTCGAGACAGTTGGAAGATAGAGTTTCATAGCGATTTTCAGGAATAGAAGCAGGATTAGTTAGAATTATCGATAGTTGAAATGGTCTACAATTTCATGTCTTTTGTTCTCCTAGTTACGTAAAATACGTAGCTGTTCCTTACAAAATTAATATTGTTTTTGATATTGTAATTGGAACAGAACAGATTGGTAATACTAGTGTTAACGAGGGTAGAATTTTTCAATTATTTTTGGATATTCTTATCAAGTGTTAATATGGTTAATCATTTCATTCGTTGTATTATTAACCATTAATTATTATTTGATTCAGGTGGTTGTATGGACGCAATTAACATTTATTGTTTGATAATATTTGTGAAGAATAAATAAAAGGGTAGGGTTTAAAGGGGAATGGTTTGTTTAGAATTTGTTTATCGCAATGGAACATTATTTATGAAGACATATTGGAAATTCACGTGGCGTAATAGAGCTGTTAAGGTATTGGGTGTCTTACTGACAAGCAGCATGTCTGCGTAGGAAGTCGATTGAGTAAATAAATCCCTGATTACTTATTTGATAAGAATATTCATTTATATCAATAATCGATCATCGATCTATCACTGTCTTATGGCAAATTTGCTCATTCTTCGGTATTAATACCTCTGTATAATACATTTTACAATCACCTCCAAATGGAACAGGATGTTGCACCTTGGAAAATTCTATTTTCCTTTGTACCTGTTTTTCAGTCATTGTGAGTCTCCTGACAACTTGACACTCTAATTTACAACAAATATTTTCTTCCTACCTTTCAATTTTTCTACATTTTTTCTTCCTCTGTACCAACACATTGTAAAATTATGTGTGTTTCTTCCAGTCTTGTCTGCAATATTAAATCACAGTCGACGAAATTATTCTCTCTTGTTCAAAATCACTAGCAAGTACCATTAGAAAAGTAACAGGTAGTTGAAATTTCAGAATAGAGTTTTTAACGATTATTTTACCCCTGCAATAATTATAGTAATTAATATCAAGGATCATTGCCTCCTATTTGATGAAAATTCTCTTACGATATTCTATCTGAGCCTTCCGTGGCAGCCTGTAACCCACGCGAAAGAAAAGGAATTTATTGTTTCGCGGCCTCGCAACTTATCCACGGCAAGAAAGTGCGAAATCGAATCCTTATTTACGATTAGTCGAAACAGCGGCCAGGACACCGTATCTCACAACCGTGGCGAGATACGGGGACAGATATCGTAAGATATGGCGCAGCGTACACGAGCCTCTAGCTTGCCTTAGCTCATTCCACCCAAGCCACGGACTTGTCTGAGATGTTAATTAGCTTCCTGCGAACCGCGACGATACGCGACTTCTTTCTCGCGAAGCGATACGCTTCGTTTCACATGGACCGCGCTATTTAGCTCATACATGTCCCTCGCTACTCCGATGCTTCTGATTGGGTTGTTCGATGAGAAAAAAGCGCCAACTCGCGAGTCGTTCCGATATCTACGCTCGAGCGATTCGAATCTCCCGCCGATTTTTGAATTTCCCGCCTCTCGGGTCCCTGCCGCAGCGGTTGAAGGTTAGGTTGAAGAACGCGATAAGTCGCATATTTTTGTTAATTCTTTTTGCAGGAAAAGGAACTTTTGGTTTAATATATTGTCAATTAATAGTTAAAAATTGCTTTCTTACTTAAGTTCATTATTTTATTAATAACTATTATACAGGGTGTCCCAAAATTCATGCAAGATTTGAATTTTGCGCCATTTGCGCTGTAAAGTGTTGCCAACGAAAACAAAAAGGCATCGTGGCAGTTCAGGGTCATTAAAAATGGAGTGCTATGCGAAAGAACAACGCGTTTTTATTGTTAAGCAATATTTATAATTTTTAATTAATAACCTGTGTTTTATATCGAAATTACTTCTGTAAGTGAATTTTGGGGCACCCATTATAAATATAATTAAAACAAATAAACAATAATTTACAAAATACATAAATTGCTCCTGTTTTATAGGTTTTTTATTTCACTATAATATACAGAATGAATAGCGTTTGAACATAACGTCGAACCAAACATACAGCATTCAATTATCATAAAATGATAGTAAAATAAGTATCTGAAACAGACAATTGAACTAATTTACGTTTGTAACTAGACGTAAACACCGTCAGATTAATTCTCCCCGTAGAATTGTTTGATGGAACATAAATTACACAGAATCAATACGTTCATATATCTACATCAACACATACACAGTAAAGTCCATTACATTCAATCTCCTAAACAACGAACCGGCTAATCCTCATTGCAGCATACCCCATCACTTACGGCCATAATTAATCGACGTAATCTCGCACCCTACCTCCGACTTCAACACCTAAATCACACAAAACGTTCGACGACCGTCGATTTATCAGGTTCCGCGAACGTCGGCAACGCGTATACTCGCATTAACGCACATTAAGCCGGCCCTTTTCAACCACGTGAAAGTGTGGGTGGACAATCGAGTTAGCCTTTTAATTCGAAACAGCCATTGACGGGGATCCCGAGAGGCATCAGTCATTCGAACGATTCTTCCTTAGTGCAACATCATCGCGACTCGTTTCGTTCGGACAACGCGGTATTGTGCTCACAAAGAAGGCCATCCGAAATGAATTAGGACCGTCTGCGCGCGAATCGCCTTGCGATTTGCCAAAGTTCGACTTCTTTGCCAGACTTCAGATTAATTGGAACGATAGGGACGCGAATAATTTACGCATCGATTTCTTCAATTTT